TCGGGCAATATCGGGTCTGGATGTGAACGAAATCTGTTTGTTGCCGTCGCCACCAATAGCTACTTTCCCGCTTGTAACGTCGAGGTTTATGAATCTTTGGAATTGTGGTTAACTGGACGGAATAGCCGGAAGCAAGAGGTAGGAGACGTACGGCGCCCAAATGTAATCCGCAAATGGACCGGTGTAGAATACGACATATGGGAGACCCAAGGTTTTCAGCTGACTCTGAATATTCGCCTTCGCCCCGAAGATTCCCTCAGTCTCTCCTTCCGTTACATTTCCAAAGTCCGAAGGTATGAACAACTTGACGCCCGCTTCCTTGGCAGCTGCAGCGATTTTCCCTTGGACATCGAGGGCCTCCCACGAAATGGTACTGATGACGACCTCCACGCCAGTCACGGCGCGCTTGATGGATTCGTCGTTGGTATAGTCGACCTGGACCACCTTGGCGTCGCCTTGTACGGTCGTCTTGGAGCCCTTAGTATCCAGCCATGAGTACTCAGCGATGTCACGTATAACACAATTATTGGATGAATACCATACTTGGCGAGTAAGGACGACGACTTCCTTAACGATTCCGGCAGCTTTGTCCTTCAGGAGTTGCTGAACGATGTAGTTACCCAGGGTACCAGCCCCAACGACGGCGAAGATTGTGTATCTGGACATGAGATGATACTGTCTAGTGTGTGATTCTTAGGCCTCCACTATTTATCCTTTCTATGGGTCAGCTTAGGCGTCGACGTCATCCCTCGGCATCCCTCGGTCATATGTCACGCTTACGAAGCCATTCATTTAGAAGAGGCCTACTCTTAGATAGGAATCCAGTGCCGCCCAATATGCAGCAAGTTGATGGGATCATTCTTCCACTGGACTATTAAACAAAGTTATTAACTCAAACAAGAAGGCTCTAAGGATACAGCTTACGGAGCAGTGGTGATATGCTGAGTAATTTGTGTACGTCTGACTTTGATTTGCACATCCTTGAACTTTGACTTGATTCTAGAGGCGACATTTTTGGGCAGGAACAAACCGTTTCTTTGGTTTTCCATGTGCTGCTCAAGATAAGGTGTGTCATCGTTGTGAATTGGCCGGGACACTGTCACACCGCATGAAAGCAATGCTATCTGAACTCATCCCTCGCTCCTTTTTCCGTCATCACTATGAGCTTGGCGTTCCAATAACAAGATCTTGGGGTCAGTTGACAAGATCCGGATATGCATGCTGGCTCACACCTACGATTAAGGAACGCCTGGACCGCAGATCAGCCACATCATGGACTTGTAGCTGGCTCGACTCTTGAGTGGTGCGCTTCATTTTTTTTTCTGGAAAAACAAGGAAACGACGTCGATCTCCCGATGTCATCGAGAGATATTGCTGAGGCAATGTGAGGTGAGTTGTGGAACAGGTCACTGACGCATGGCTGACTCGGAAGTGACAACGAGGTCTAGGTTGACCGCCAGCTGCGCTGGGTATAATCGGGGTCTTATCTACAACTGACGACCGTGTCTTCTCATCGTTACGCTCGTGCTGATATTAGGATTAGCAGTGGCACATAATGCCCACCGCATCGATGTCCCTCCAACAACTGCAATATGCTGAGGCCCAAAGCTTCAGGAGCCTTGTGCGAAGCGTCTAGCAGTATAGGCGCGAACCAATGGGACATTTTGATTGCCGTCCCTTTCCACGGTGTTTACCAGAAGGCTTTGGCTGACTTGTGAGAGCAAGCGTGAGAAGCGCTTGTTCGCGTCCCCGGAGTGCGCGCTCGGCGACAGCGTTTCCGTCCAGGAGACTCCCGGGCCGTCATTCGAATACGAGACATACGCAGAGCGAAGAAAACCTTCCACGAGGAAAATATACAAACGCATCACGATGGAATATTTCGCATAGAAGGTGACGAACAGGTGGTGCAGTACTGTAGCTAACTCAATATATCATATTTCTGATCGACCAGTTCTCTCGCCTCGTTTACGCAACGGGAACATTATCGATCACCGGCGACGGATTCCAGCCTGGATACAGGTCATTGTCAGTTCGCGGGAATGCTCCCGCGGTCGCCCAGAACTTGTGCAGGACAGCAGGTAAGTCCAACGGATTGGCAGCTATTCTAGCATCAAATTCAGAAATGGGAACGTTAGTGACTTGCAGCTTCTTCCCAGTCTTTTCTTCATATGCCTTGAATATTTCGTTGAACGACTAATTAACGTGGTTTGTTATCAGTCAGACACGACTACTGAGCCATGTATGAATTCCGCGTTACCTTATTGTCCCCAGCGATGGTGAAGGCACGATTCTTCAATTGTTCGGGAGAAAGGTGCGTCAAGACATAGGAAACGTATCGGGCAATATCGGGTCTAGAGGTGAACGAAATTTGCTTGTTGCCGTCGCCAGCAATAGCCACTTTCCCGCTTGTAACGTCGAGGTTTAAGAATCTTTGGAATTGTGGTTAATTGGGCGGAATAGCCTGAAGCAAGAGGTAGGAGACGTACGGCGCCCAAACGTAATCCGCAAATGGACCGGTGTAGAATACGACATATGGGAGACCCAAAGTTTTCAGCTGGCTCTGAAAATTCGCCTTCGCCCCGAAGATTCCCTCAGTCTCTCCTTCCGTTACATTTCCAAAGTCCGAAGGTATGAACAACTTGACGCCCGCTTCCTTGGCAGCTGTAGCGATTTTCCCTTGAACATCGAGTGCCTCTCCCGAAATGGTACTGATGACGACCTCCACGCCAGTCACGGCGCGCTTGATGGATTCGTCGTTGGAATAGTCGACCTGGACCACCTTGGCGTCACCTTGTACGGTGGTCTTGGAGCCCTTAGTATCCAGCCATGAGTACTCAGCGATGTCACGTATAACATAATTATTGGATGAATACCATACTTGGCGAGTAAGGACGACGACTTCCTTAACGATTCCGGCAGCTTTGTCCTTCAGGAGTTGCTGGACGATGTAGTTACCCAGGGTACCAGCCCCAACGACGGCGAAGATTGTGTATCTGGACATGAGATGATACTGTGTGATTCTTAGGGGCATCCATGCTTCGCCCTCCATTATTTATCCTTTCTATGGGTCAGCTTACTAGGCGTCGACGTCATCCCTCGGTCATATGTCACGCTTACGAAGCCACTCATTTAGAAGAGGCCTACTCTTAGATAGGAATCCAGTGCCGCCCAATATGCAGCAAGTTGATGGGATCATTCTTCCACTGGACTATTAAACAAAGTTATTAACTCAAACAAGAAGGCTCTAAGGATACAGCTTACGGAGCAGTGGTGATATGCTGAGTAATTTGCGTGCGTCTGACTTTGATTTGCACATCCTTGAACCTTGACTTGATTCTAGAAGCGACATTTATATTTTTGGGCAGGAACAAACCGTTTCTTTGGTTTTCCATGTGCTGCTCAAGATAAGGTGTGTCATCGTTGTGAATTGGCCGGGACACTGTCACATCGCATGAAAGCAATGCTATCTGAACTCATCCCTCGCTCCTTTTTCCGTCATCACTATGAGCTTGGGGTTCCAATAACAAGATCTTGGGGTCAGTTGACAAGATTCAGATATGCAAGCTTCTTTCGCGCTCAGACATCCCAGGACTCAGAAAACGACAATAGCTTGGGGCAACCATGACTACCTCGAATAGATCAGCCCCGAGTTACCAAAGAGCCTTGATAATCTGGTTCGGAGGTGCTGACATTATATTATCTAGGATGCTGCGGTCTTTGTGTTCTGCAAAACAAAGGGTGACTAATGGGCCATATGGCGTAGTGTGTGCGTGACCGACTGAGATGTAAATAGATTGCGGCGCTTGAGTCGAGTTAACATGATCGCTTCCGTCAACTACAGTACCATCATTTTTGAACTCAATATGCCATTACAGTACCTGCTGGCCCGCCAACCCTTTTGGCCTCAGCGATTGGATTCATCCGGTGAGCAGAAGATTGCGTGTCAGCCGAGTAACCGCCCAAAAAAGGAAGAACCACGGCACCCAGGATTCCCGCGTGGTCCCCCACCGTAGTACTAACTAGGCGGCACTCTGGTTAACTGCGCAGATCGAACGGGATGCGGTATTTTCAGAGTCCTATGGCCGTGGATGCTAACGTATATGAAGATGCGTTTATATGCCATCCTTAATTTCTGATAGAAAGCGACAGCGAAGAACGGTGCGCTTTCAAGGGTATCATGATCATGATCATCGTTCAAACTCAGTGCTAGGTCAAGACCGAAGTAGCTCCACAAGTATCTTGCATGTGGTATGTCCTACTTGGGATGTTAGTTCTGCCGCCATCTTCAAGCCCCATTTCCATCCCTGCTGAACTTGAACAAGTTTGAATTCGAAAGTTTCAAGTTAAACGTTTGAACCGAATGTTTGAACCACCAATGCATCTTTCGAAATCGTCCCTCATCCTTACCAATCACGACCTCTTTCCGAGCCTACTCCGGCCTGTGTTCATTTTCATCTTGCGGAAGCTCATTCCGTTCCGAGCGTGGCTCCGACACGATCCTTACCTCTTTCACATACGTGCATTCCTGCTCCAAAACGAGTGACACATCTGAAACAGCAGCTGTGCTGTGCTCTGGTCCAAACTAATATCCTCCATTCATCATACGAACCCTGCTCACCTTGGCTGTATTCGGAGGCAAAACTGCTTCTGCAAGCGAGATTCCGATCATTGTAATGCCAGCCTGACAATGCAGTGATCGTAATCTTGCTCGCGTTCTATAGAATGCTGAACTACTCAACAAGAAACCATCGTTCATGCCCATTTTCCGGCGATTCCAATACCGGCTCTCCGCTACTAATAGTACATACGGGGAATGTAGCCTCTAAACAACCGGCGCATTATTCTCTCGTGCTTTTCGGCATTCAGAGAGTTATTTGATGTATGGAGTCGATATGGTTTCCTTTTCATTATTGTACCTGGGTTATTATAGCACATTTAGTCCAGATGCATAGGTGAAGATGTCAATTTAACACACAAGACATGATATTGTGACAGAAAACAGACCAGACTAGGATTTGAAACCAGGCCCCCATCATATACCAGGTGCTCTAACCACTGAGCTACCCAGCCCTCAGTTTGGTATATATATCTTTTATTTTATCAGCAGCAGCGTAACGATGCACACGGTACTATATAGCACTGTACTTTTGGCCTCACTTTCTCATTCACCTCCCATCATGGCATACTCCAAAACAATCTCTAATGTGTATGTGCGCCGCCCAATCGCTTTGGGGAGTGTCATTGACATATCACCTAACCTAGTATTTCTGCGCGAACTATCCTTGAAACCGACGAGCTTGCTCCTCCACTGAAAGACTCCGTACGCGCTTGTCGTCCTCACCGCCGCCACCGCCTTCCACTTTCGCCAACAAATGTGCCCGGGCCCGCAGCACCACGCACCCGCAATAACACCGGTAGCGAATGACGTGACCGTGTCTACGCGAGGGCGCTTCGCCAGCGCTGCACCGAGCCCAGGCACGCACGTGTTCCCACCAACATGCAGTACGTACTGTACTCGCGTACACTTGAACCAACTTGAACCGTTTGGACACAATCAAGCCGTGCCCATTGAAGCGAGTACAGTACCATGCGCCCGCGCAACAGATTGGCGCCACTTTCACATCGAATCTTTGGTTGATAGTCCCTTGTGTGACGCCACGCGTCCTCGAGCGACTCGACCACGCAAATCAGTCGGCCACCACACCCACATCGCTTGCAGCCAGCGCGACTTGTTTTTTTAAGCGGCATGCTCTTCATTTTTTCTTACACAAAACGAGAACACTTGGCTGCTACCCCCGATGTCGCGGAGGTCCCCGAGACGATGCACCAGCTATAGCTATTGTGAGTGTGACAGCGTGGCTTGGAACAGGCCTCAGCCTCTGGCGCACGGTTTAAGGGTGTCAAAGACGCGCAGGTTTGACCAATGACCTACGCTGCGTCTGATTCGGGCCTTCAATCGTCTACGACTGACAACTGTGTCATCGTCGCGCTGGCATTGGCAATGGCATTAGTCATCGCACAGAGGCCGCTAACCGGTTTCCTTACAACAGCTACCATCAATATGCCCGAAGCCAAGACCATCCTGCAAGGTCCTGGTGGACTTATAAGAGCGAGCATAGGAAGAGCATCGTCCCGTCCTTCAGCGTGAGTATACTGCCCGGCGTGGTTTTTCCGTTCGGGAGAGGCAAGAATTCGACCACTAGACATGCGTCGAGCGGAGAGAAACTACGTAGAAAGCATATAGGCGTATGCTGATGGATATTGTCTACATCTTCCTTTTATATGCACTTATAGATGCTAATGGGCAGGTTAACGACATATATTCGAAAGATCCGATCCTCCGAGTCATCTTCAGGGATGCTCTAATACGACGAGAACATACTACTGCGCTATATTACGCGACTAAGTTAGTTTCTATGGCTCTCATTTAGGCAACGGGCATGTGATCAAGTACGGTCGACGGATTCCAGTCGGGATATAGGTGGTTGTCAGTTCGCTGGAATGGTCCCGCAGTCGCAAAGAGCCTTTGCAGGTAAGGAACTATGTCCTCCGGATTGGCAGCAATTTTTGCATCGAGTTCGGAAACGGGAATGTAGGTAACCTCCAGCTTCTTCCCCGTCTTTTCTTCGTACGCCTTGAATATTTCGTTGAACGACTGATCAAGCATTTGTCGCTAGTCAGACACTATTACCGAGCCATGTAGCAACCAGATATTACCTTGCTGTCCCCGGCGACGGCGAAGCGGCGGTTCTTCAATTGCTCGGGTGAGAGGTGCGTCAGGATATAGGTTATATATCGGGCGGCATCGGGCCTGGAGGTGAACGAAACTTGCTTGTTGCCGTCACCACCGACGGCCACTTTCCCACTCAAGACATCGAGTTGGAAGAACCTGTTGACCCTGTCTTTAGTAACTGGACTGGGACAGTGCCAAAGGCAAGAGATAACAAATGATCAAGAGACGTACGGTATCCAAGCCATATCCGAGAACGGGCCATTGTAGAAAGCAGCGTATGGCACACCCATCGCTTTCAGCTTTTCCTGCATAGCAAAATTGCCAGCGAAGATACCCTCGGTCTCGTTTTCCGATATCCCGCCGAACTCCGAAGGGCAGAACAACTTCACGCCTACTTCCTTGGCGGCCGCAGCGATTTTCGTCTGAACATCGGTGGCTTTTCGGTGAATGGTACTGATGACGACGTGCACACCGGCCAGAGCTTGCTTGATGGAATCATCTTTGGAATAGTCGACTTGGATCACCTTGGCGTCGTCTTGAACGGTGGGTTTGGATCCCTGAAGTGTCCACAACCAATGCGTGGTACTCAGCACATCATGTACAGCCCGAATTATTGGTTAGATACTTTACGTCGCGGGTAAGAACGACAATCTCCTTGACAATCCCAGCAGCCTTGTCTTTCAGGAGCTGCTGAATGACGAAGTTGCCGAAGTTACCGGCCCCAATGACGGCGAAGTTTGTATATCCAGACATGAGTGAGATGAAGTTATCAACTGGGTGTTTGAGTTCCGGGTCCATCCGTCACGTGCTCTACCCTCCTCCTATTTATTCTCTTTCAGAACCATGAATGTACAACTCTTCCCGATGCGTCCGAGTCATGGGTATCATCCACTTCATTCCGAACCATGAATAATGTCCAATCTATTCCCGGTACGTCCTAGCCATGGGCACCATCCACTTCTTTCCGAGCCATCGGCGTTATCCTTCTCGGCAATGGTCACGCTTACCAAGTTGTCACTTAGGAAAGGGCTACGTTAGATGATAAGTACTGGTCCTGCCCAGTATGTGCCTGAGAATTGAATTGCGCTGTGAATCAGCATCGACCGTTGAGGTGGGAGAATTCATACTGCATTGCCGTTCGCCGTGCTTTTATGGCTCGACTGAGACAACTGTATAACAATGTTACTAACTCTTGACTAGGATGACCACATTGCGATGACTCCTCAAAAATGTGCTGAATAATTTGTACAGTCCAATTCTGTTGTCATAACGAAGCGGCCAGTGCTTATTACTGTAGCTTTCTGTATGGATGCAACCATAACGCGTAACACTGGGGTGGTTGTGTTGCTAAAAATAATGCATAATGGGAGGTTGGTTGCTAAAATATCAGGTGTAACACAGCTCAGGATGTTTGGTTGCTAACAGTAGCAACGTAACGCGTAACGCAAAACCTCCAAGTCCCCTACATAGACGGGTATAGACTAGTTACAAGCAATTAATGAAGGCTAGTACAGTATTTCTGTTTTCCGTACTACTAGTATTCTGTGACTTTGTTCGATGTAATATCCATTCTCACTTGTGGCCCAGACCCTGGTTGCTAACCTTCTGGCTGTAACGCTCCATACACCACTGGGTTGCTAATACTAGCAACCATAATGCATAACGGGGGGTCCGGTTGCTAATTCAGAGTCAGGGGTAGGCCGTAACGCACCTCCCCCTGGTTGCATCCATACAGAAAGCTACAGTACACAGCACATAAAAGTCGTAGGGAGCGAGTCGACCCGATTCAGAGCCTTGTGATTAACACGGCGATCATTGCATATCCCATCGTAACGGGAGGGGTGACAAGACAATACGACCAGAATACTGTGCGACTTATCCATCGTTCGAAGATATCGCTGGTGGCTCCTGAGATCTGCAAGGGCAAAAAAGCATACTCAATGTCTGAAAGCCCTGGAGCTAACAATAAGAGAAGAACGTACTTGCGCCAACGTCAAGGCAGGCGGCGACGCCAGCAGAACCACTTGGCTGAGTATAAAGACCGGACTGGTGTGGGTACATGATAAATTTTAGAGGACGCGATGATACTAACAGCCAGGACTTACTCTTTGAACACGCCCGGGGAACCTCGGAGAGCGCCGAGCACCACGAGTGGAAGGAGCAACAGGGGGACGATAAACATACGGGCAAGTATTATTGCGAAGATCATCCTCCCTTCGCCGCTGTTTCCTAGCTGCGATGTGTTGGCGCGTAGGCGAATGGCCCCCATCTGACTCTCCGATTCGAGGCAAAAAATGCTCCGCAACCGGCTCAAGGGCGTTGCTCGCTGGGATTCGAGATCATCCGAGGGTGGTAGCTTAGACTTATCTGGGGCTCTATAAAAATATGCGCCGAGCACGATGAGCGTGAGGGGAACAGAGCAGTCGCCTGCCTGCGTAATGGCACCGCGTAATGGTCTTAGATAATTGCCAATGAAGTGTTGTAGAGGCTGGAATAGCGCAACCACGAGGGAAGCAACTGATGCCCAGAGGGGAGGCGTCATAAAATTAGTCACTCTTCTCCAGATCGTGCCTCCTGCGCGTGCCGCACGCTGCGCGAGTGTGTTCTTGCGAGACCACACTGGCACTGGAACATATTCATCTACGTTAACGATTGGGATCGCTTCTTCTTCCGGACCAGAGGGCCGGGGAACCGTTGTCACGTGGGGCGCTCGCCATGTGACTTGGTCGCCTCGACCATCCTCACGCCGTAAATCTTCTATACGTTCCATGCTTCTTTCGGTAGATGGGCAGTTTTCATCGTCAAGCGTAACGACGTGCTCAATCTCGTCTGGAATAACTGCTTTAGAGAGTAAATGAACTCCGTAACTCCAACGAATCTTAAAATTGTGAAGTTTTCAACATATACTGTATAATCAGTGATAAAACGAAGCTCACGAATTGCCCCATGGTCCCACTGAGTAAAATATAGGCGAGTGCGCGTCCGACCATGGAATTGGTCGTATCATCTTGACCCCATTTAAGCCCTGGCACCGAAACAACAAGCGATTGGAGAAGCGCGACTGGGAGGGAATTCGAGTTCATGATCATGGCAGCAGCCATAGCGAAGTTCCTTGAAGAAGCGTTTAACAACGAAATGGGGAGAAATGTTGGGACTGAAACATACCTTTGCGGGAGGTTGAGTCTGAAAACAAAAGCAAGTAGCCATGCCACCACCAAGGATACGCCACTGATGAGAATGAAAAATAGGGGGATGATCCACAGTTCCTTGAACTCGTCTATGAGAGATACTATAAGTGAAGAGTTGGTAGAATGAGGGCTAACATTCCCATACCTGC